GCCAGCCCAGACATGGGGGGGGGGGGGGGGGGGGGCAGTTCATGACACACTTTCCCCAGAGACCCAGTAACCAAAACACGCTCATGGGCCCACATTTTAGGAATGGCTTGCTTTCTGCGACCCCTCGGCCAAATCCAGTTATTGTCGTATGTGTTCGTTTGCGTGTTTATTGATTAATTAATTTTTTGGGTAAGTGTTTTACGGCGCTCGCAACTATATAAGGTCATATGATCGCGTTTGTGTGTGAGTGTGTGAATGAAAAATACTCACACATACCTACCCTGATTTCTCAGCCCCACCCACATTTAGAACCACCCACCGCCACTGCTCTTGTTTATCCTTCTATTGACTCTCTACATGCAGCAAAGTCTTCGCACGATAGCTTAAACACACGCAATGTGAAAACGTGGGGTACCACATGGAGTTTATGAATCATTTTTTTGAATAAAGCTAGCGGGCTCTCGTGGCCAAAAGGTTAAGGTGTTCGCCTCTCATTCAAAGGTCCCGGGTCCGAATCTGGGTAGCGACGGAAACATTTTCTTCTCTTCAAAGTGTCCCCTTTCACCTTCTTTCCTTCTCTCTTGCAATATATTCTGTCGTCTGCTTTCGTCTTCACTTTCTTCCCCCACCCCTCACCCTCTTTGTCCCCCTCCACTGGGCTCCTGACTCTTTCTGCAGCCTTTCAATTGCCTCTCCATGGCTCCTTCTTACTGGTGTCTTTCAGCCATACCCCTGATCTTCTGGTGGGAAAGATTTACACCTTTCTTTCTCGGACAAGAGCGAAAAATCTCGGAGGTCCCGAGTGCAAGTTGTGCACGTTAAAAACCCCTGGCCGCCACCCGGGCAAAATTCCCAAAAAATTCCTACCAATTGAAAATGTTTGGTGTGTCTTGCGCGCTCATATGACCTTATGCAGCTGCGAGCGCCGTAAAAAACTTACCAAAAAAAAAGAAAGAAAAAAAAGAATATAGAACTATTCCATGGTGCCGGTTCAGCTGACAGTCTATGGGCGATAACATAATATAGAACGCCGAAACTTAAGCGGCTGAAGATTGACGCGGACAGGCGCCAATGGGTGTCTGCTTGACTCCGTATAGGCTAGTATAGAGGACGCGTAAAGCCTAGATCTAGATCTGAGAAAAAAATTACACCACAACACAGCTGGAATTTATGAAGCATTTTATTTGGGAGGAAAAAACCACGAATTTCCTCAAATAATACTTGTGGGGGGCTACACCCCCAAAATCAAAATTCGGCTCAAAATCATGGAATTTGAGTTGTAGGCATTTTTAGCTTCCTCGGCCTCTCCTACAACTATTTCATGGCATAAGAACCCCCAAAAACCGTATTTTGTCCCATACCGGGCATGTTTGTAACCTCCATTTCCTCATAAAGTCAGTATTTTATTTTTCTTTATCGGCCGTTTTCTCAAAATGCTACTTTTCTCTATACTTTTTTGAATAACTCCACCATTTTTCATGCAATCTCCATGAAGTTTTCACAGAATGAAGAGAAGAGGTAATACTAAAAATTTGTTTGTTGAATTTTTGATATATGGAATAGATTTTTGTTGGTGGTGTCTGGAGTGTGGATTTTCACGGATTTTTCGCAAACTTGAATGCTACCTCAGGAAAAAAATCATTAAAAATTTTGTAATTCGATTAGGAAAAAAACAACAGACAAATTATTAGATCTAATGTTTGTAAACACGCATGCAAAAAACCAATCAATTTCCACTAGCGATAAGTGTGGTATTTATTACATAAGACATGTCAATAAAATCCAATATGGCGGCGTATCCATGGAAACGAAACTTTTTTCTCAAATTTGATTGGGGATTTCAAGACTCCTTCGCCTTCTTTTTCTATGTGTGAAATGTGGTAAAATTGGGCCCAGTAAAAACCGAAAAACCCCCCGGGGGTGGCCCCCCCCCCCCCCCCCCTTTAAAATGTAATTCTACTCGATTACCACCCTAATTTGACGGTGATTTTAAAAATTGTAATTAGTTTTTGTCTATGTAAAGCACCACCTCTGAAATGACCATTTAAAACTGTCCCCAGTCCAGTCAGGTGACGTCACGCAAACCGCTGAACCCTTGTTGGCGACGTCGAGACGGTATTGAGAATTCGCGACCTCAGTGCTTTCTCGTCGCATCTCCATTTTCAAAAACAGTGAAAACAGTTCAATACTAAGAGTCAGTCTAAGAAAAAGTCACATTTTCACAGTTAAAAAATGGAGATACGACAGGAAAGCACTGAGGTCTCGAGTTGACAGCGAGTCGCCCTCCCCAGTTTTCCGGCGAAATAAGAATGTAGTTTGTTGGATTCCGATAAAGCCGACAACGCCGATCGGTGCTTAAAGCCGCCTGCAGTATGCCAGCTCTATGTAGGGCATGGTGG